ATGCCTTAGCATTTTATTCAGGTTTGCTTACATGTTTCATAATTCATTTTTAGCTTCAATATATACTTATTTTATTTATTTATTTATTTATTATTATTATTATTTTAAAAAAAACATTAACTTTAGGATTGTGGGCATTTGATGGATGGTAAGAATCTGAAATCTGTTTTGAAGAAGAAGCAATTATAATCCAAAATTTGATTAATTTTGATTATAAAATTAGTCAAATCGGTCCTTTATTCCGTTTCGGAGGACTTTCTATTATCTAAAATTTGTTTATCTGCGTGTTAACGTGAAATGTCCAATGGGTTTAATCGTTCAGGAATTCTGTGAACGTTATCGCTGGTGAAATGAAAAATCCTTCACGAGATCTTCCACGCATAATCATGATCGGTTTACCAATTGTAATAGTTTTTTATTTATTGGCGAATGTTGCTTATTATGCTGTTTTACCATCTTCCATAGTCAAACACACAAACACGATAGCTTTGGTATGTAATTTATATATTATTACCTAAAAAGTATACACATATATACATAGTTATATAGATACTTAATAAATTCCATTTTAATTATATAGGATTTTGGCCGAAAAATGTTTGGATCTATAGGTGGTATCCTTTTCGCACTCTGTGTGGCTGCTAGTTGCTTTGGAGCTGCGAATGGTGGAATGTTTACGGGTTCAAGGCTAATATATGTTGCCGGACGTGAAGGATATTTACCTTCTCTGTTCGGTAAAGTGCATGATAAATGGAATACTCCAACAGCAGCAATAGTTATGCAGGCAACGTTAACAATTATAATGATTATTCCGGGTAGTTTTACTGGTCTATTGAATTTTGTTTCTGTTGCGGGCTGGGTATTTTATTTCCTTACTTCATTCGGACTTTTCATCTTACGTTGGAGAGAACCTAACCTAAAAAGGTAAATATTATGCATTTATTAATTTTTCTTAAATTCATACATTACAATCTTAGTAACATGCAATGTCCTTACTTTACAGACCATACCGAGTGTGGCTTATTACACCCACAATATTTTGTTGTGTTGCAATATTTTTGGTGGTTATGCCATTTACACGAGTACCTTTAGAATCACTTTCTGCGTTAGGATTTATTCTTGCAGGTGTACCGTTTTGGTGTATAAGAGTCAAATATAGAGAATCATTTACTACTAAAGGTATTTGAAAATTTTAATCCTCAATTATGATATTGAAATCATATTCTAATAAAAAAAAAAATTTTTTTTTATAACATGATTACAGCATTTAAGGATTATTTAAGCAATGTTAATAATACCATGAACTCATGGCGCTTTCGACATAGATATTCCAAGCAAGAAGTGATAGAAATGACATAGTAAACGAAATTTGTAATGACTCACGACAATTTTATACAGATTTTAATACGAAAGATTATATTTAATAGAGCACTTCTTTCTTTTAATATACTGTACTTAATATATATTGTTTGGAATATTACTATATTTTGTAATATAATAATAAAATCGGTTGAATTAGAAAGTTTATATAAAAATTTGATAGTGTTTATACCTGTATAAAAAAAAATAAAACTTTTTTTTTACTTTATACCTTTTGTAACCAAATTTCTCACATTCGAATGTTATGAATTAAGGTGGCCATCTATAATTAATTAAGTTATGCATATAGATATTTTTGGACGTATAATTACTGTTCATTTCGCATTACTATATAAATCGAATGTCTGTATGCACAAAATCGATCAATTACATTATCGCGATTAGTGGTTACAACATTAATTGATGGTTTTCTAAAATAAGCAGGATCTTTTAAATCATGTATCGTTTATTATTTGTTATCGTTATCGATTAATAATTGCAATCTTTAAAATCAAATATATTATCAATATATTCAAATATTACTTTTATTTAACGTTAATAATGTTTATTTAAAAAAAAACTTGATTAAAATAGTATACATAGTTGAAATTTGGTAAAGATTTAAAAAACTTTTTCGAATTCTAATTCTAAATTTTTTTTTAAAAAAAAGATACATATAATAAAGTCGTAAATTTTGAAATCGCATATTTAACGTAGCATCATACGAAGGAAAAAAAATAAAAGCCAAATACAACCTATTGTATACTAAAGAAAATAAAAAATAAAATAAGTATATATTGAAGCTAAAAATGAATTATGAAACATGTAAGCAAACCTGAATAAAATGCTAAGGCAT